CACTCGTTCAGCGTGGAGGAATACGGTGCGCAGCGGGGCCCAGGGTAGCACCCACATCTGCCCTGTGCCCCCCCCAGCCCCACCTCTGCTCCTCCTGGAGCACGAGGGCTCTTCACACAAACACACCCTTCCCAGAGCTGGTGTTGCTGGGAGAGGGAAGGAAATGTCAGTGGCTCCTTCTCCATCTTCCACCCCAAAAATAACCTCCTCTGGCTCTTGCGGGGGAGGGGGAGAGAAGAGCTCTGATGTCTCCCTTGAAACAACTGCCACCTACCCCTACCCTTCCCCAGACACCCTGCCCTGACCCTCCCAACTGCCTCCCACGCCCCTGCCCCAGACACCCTGCCTGAGCCCCCAACTGCCTCCTACCCCCACCCTCGCCCCAGACACCTGCCACTGACCCCGCCAACTTCCTCCCACCCCAGTTCCCCACACACCCTGCCCTTGAGCCCCACCCTCCCCAATGCTCCCCCCTTTCCACTGCTGGCCAACCCCCATACCGCAAGCAGGAGGGAAAAAGCAGGCACCCCCAACTTCCTGCCCCACCTGGTGCCCCATCCCAGTGCTGCACATTCACCCAGCCCCAACACACGCTCCCCTCCTGGGGCTTCTGGGCCTCGGAGCTGCCCAGCCAGCTCCTATCAGTGCCCCAGGACGGCCCAGACCCTGAGGGACAAACTGCCATGGAGCAGCCCCCCGGCTTCTCTGGGCTGAGCCCAGGTGTGAATTTGGCCCTGTCTGTCCAGGCTGCCTGGCGGGGCCCTGCTGGGGACGAGGTCCCAGCCGAACACCAGCTCCCAGAGGGAAACAGCCGGGACCTTATCAGCCAGGAGAAACGCCCATGTCAATGGGCCCCCATGGTCCCTGACATGTCCCCGCTTTCAGGCCCACATTGTCCCTGGTCTCGAGCTAGGGTGACCATACATCCCTGGCCAGGACAGTCCTTTTTTTTAAGCCCTGTCCTACTGACCCCTACTTTTTTGGCTCCGATGGGGGGGGTGAGCTCTGGGGTGGGGCCGGGAATGAGGGGTTTGGGGTGCAGAAGGGGGAATCTGGGCTGGGATCGAGGAGTTCAGAGGGCGGAAGGGGGATCAGGGTTGGGGTAGGGGGTTGGGGTGCAGGGGGTGGCTTGGGGGTGCCAGCTTATCTCAAGCAGCTCCTGGAAGCAGTGGCATGTTCCCCCTCCAGCTCCCAGCCATGGTTCCCAGCCAATGGGAGCTGTGGGGGGCGGCGCTTGGGACGGGGGTAGCGTTCGGAGCCCCCTGGCTGCCCCTATGGGTAGGAGCCAGAGTAGGGACATGCCGCTGCTTCTGATAGCAACACATAGCCACGGCACACAGGGAGCCTGCCTTAGCCTCACTGCCCCGCCGACCGGACTTTTAACAGCCCGGTCTGTGGTGCCAACTGGAGCCTCCAGGGTCCCTTTTCGACCGGGCGTTCCAGTCGAAAACCGGACACCTGGCAACCCTACTGCTGCAATCTGCAGCCTCTTCTCAGCCCTGCTCCATTTCTGGGCCCTTCCCCTTCCCGCCCAGCCGGCAGGTTGGTGGGGGGCTGCAAGACCCAGGGAGAAGCTCCAACGCCGAGGATTGCGATGAAACCCCCGAGCCGGGGCTGCGGGTCGGTTTCACCCCGTCCCTCTCTGCCCCCAGTGCTGCCCAAGTTCGAAGTGACCCTGGAGCTGCCCCCCGTGGTGACGGTGCTGGATGAGACGATCCTGCTGCGGGTGTGCGGCCGGTGAGTGTGAAACCAGCCCTGCCAGGCTAATAAGGGGGGGCTGGAACTGCCCTGGACCTTCCTCCCCCGCCCCCCAGGCCAGAATCTGACCTGCCCCTTCCCTGCCTGCGCCCTTCTGCCCCATGCTCATGGCCAGGCAGGACTCCCTGGGGCTCTCACTCCCACCCACACGACGAGCCCCACCCCAGCAGGGACCCGCCCCTCATGGGCAGGGGGGGTTGGCCCCCTCCCCTCCCACTTACCCTCTCCCTCCCCTCTGCTAAACAGATACACCTATGGGAAGCCCGTCCAGGGGAGGGTCCAGGCCAGCCTGTGTCGGGAGGAACAACCACCATATCACCGGTACCATCTTCATGGCGCACTAACCGGGGCTCTGTGCACGGAGCTTACTGGCCAGGTGAGTGTGACTGGGGCGGGGGGAGGTACATGACATGCTGGAGGAGGCTCCTCTCCATGTTTTTCTTACACTGGCCAGAGGGGGCGCTGTGATCTGCCTTGATGATGTTGGTGACATTGGGGGGTGGGGACATAAGAGCGGCCAGACTGGGTCAGACCAAAGGTCCATCTAGCCCAGTGTCCTTTCTGCCAGCAGTGGCCAATGCCAGGTGCCCCAGAGGGAATGAACAGAACAGGTATCACCAAGTGATCCATCCCCCATCGCCCATTCCCAGCTTCTGGCAAACACAGGCTAGGGACACCATCCCTGCCCATCCTGGCTAATAGCCATTGATGGACCTATCCTCCATGAACTTATCTAGTTCTTTTTTGAACCCTGTTAGAGTCTTGGCCTTCACAACATCCTCTGGCAAAGAGTTCCACAGGTTGACAGTGTGTTGTGTGAAGAAATACTTCCTTTTGTTTGTTTTAAACCTGCTGCCTGTTAATTGCATTTGGTTACCCCTAGTTCTTGTGTTATGAGAAGGAGTAAATAACACTTCCTTATTTACTTTCTCCACACCAGTCCTGAGTTTATAGACCTCTGTCATATCCCCCCTTAGTCATCTATTTTCCAAGCTGAAAAGTCCCAGTCTTATTAATCTCTCCTCATATGGCAGCCGTTCCATACCCCTAATCATTGTTGTTTCCCTTTTCTGAACCTTTTCCAATTCCAATATATCTTTTTTGAGATGGGGCAACCACATCTGCACACAGTATTAAAGATGAGGCCATACCTTGGATTTAAATAGAGGCAACATGATATTTTCTGTCTTATTATCTATCCCTGTCTTAATGATTCCCAACATTCTGTTTGCTTTTTTGACCTGCCGCTGCACATTGAGTGGATGTTTTCAGAGAACTATCCACAATGATTCCAAGAACTCTTTCTTGAGTGGTAACAGCTAATTTAGACCCCATCATTGTCTATGTATAGTTGGGATCTGTGTTCCCTGTAAACTGCGAGAGATGAGAATTAAGTGCCACCCAGCTAATTAGCAGAGCAGCCAGCAGCATGTGTTCAGGTGCCCCTCCCCCCATGTTGCTCCATCCTGCAGCTGCTCCTGGGAGCCGGGACCTTCCTGCTCACTGTGCAGAGCAGCGGGGTGGGTGCTGATGTCATGGTGTCCCTCTTCCCTTGCCCCTGTACCCCATCTCCACAAAACAGGGCAGAGGGGACAGCCTGGCTCAGTAGGACTGGGATCATAGAAACAGAATATCAGGGTTGGGAGGGACCTCAGGAGGTCATCTAGTCCAACCCCCTGCTCAAAGCAGGACCAACCCCAACTAAATCATCCCAGCCAGGGCTTTGTCAAGCCAGGCCTTAAAAACCTTTAAGGATGGAGATTCCACCACCTCCCTAGATAACCCATTCCAGTGCTTCACCGCCCTCCTAGTGAAATAGTTGACGATGAAACCATTACTCCTTGTTCTGTCATCTGCCACCACTGAGAACAGCTGAGTTCCATCCTCTTTGGAACCTCCCCCCCCCCCCTTTCTGGTAGTTGAAGGCTGCTATCAAATCCCCCCTCACTCTTCTCTTCTGCAGACTAAATAAGCCCAGTTCCCTCAGCTTCTCCTCATAACTCATGTGCCCCAGCCCCCTAATCATTTTCGTTGGCTTCCGCTGGACTCTCTCCAATTTGTCCACATCCCTTCAGTAGTAGGGGGACCAAAACTGGATGCAATACTCCAGGTGTGGCCTCACCAGTGCCGAATAGAGGGGAATAATCCCTTCCCTCGATCTGCTGTCCATGCTCCTACTAAAACAGCCCAATATGCTGTTGGCCTTTTTGGCAAGAAGGGCACACTGCTGACTCATATCTAGCTTCTCGTCCACTGTAACTCCTGGTCCTTTTCTGCAGAACTTCTGCTTAGCCAGTCAGTCCCCAGCCTGCAGCGGTGCACTTCCTTCCCAAGTGCAGGACTCTGCACTTGTCCTTGTTGAACCTCATTTCTTTTGGCCCAATCCTCTAATTTGTCTAGGTCACTCTGGATCCTATCCCTACCCTCCAGCGTATCCACCTCTCCCCACAGCTTACTGTCATCTGCAAACTTGCTGAGGGTGCAATCCATCCCATCATCCACATCATTAATAAAGATGTTGAACAAAACCGGTCCCAGGACCGACCGCTTGGTATTGGCTGCCAACTAGACATCGAGCCATTGATCACTACCCATTGAGCCCGACAATCTAGCCAGCTTTCTATCCACCTTATACTCCATTCATCCAATCCATACTTCTTTAACTTGCTGGCAAGAATATTGTGGGAAACCATATCAAAAGCTTTGCTAAAGTCAAGATATATCAGGTCCACTGCTTTCCCCATATCCACAGAGCCAGTTATCTCATCATAGATGGCTATCAGGTTGGTTAGCTGCTGCCCTCTGAATGGTGAGTGGCTGAGTGTCTTTCTTAAAGAGACAGTGAGGGCACTGTTTCTCAGTTTTCCCCAGCAGCCAGCTCACAGAGTCTCTGTCTCTCTCCCCCTCCCCATGCCCAGGTACCCCATCTCCGCAGAGCTGGGGAGGGGAGACAACAGGACTTAGGACAGAGCAGGAAAGCTTTCAGTGAGTGTCTTAAAGAGACAGTGCACGGCTTTCCCCAGCAGCAGCACACACACTGTCTCTGTGTCACAGACACACAGTCTCTGTGTCACACACAGAGTCTGTCACACACACACTCTGTCTCTGTCACATTCACCTCCCAACACATACTTGTATTATTGTTGCTACCTCTTGGTACTTCCTGTAATGCACATATATTCTCTGTAATTTTATTCTTTGAAAGTCTGTTATTTTAGTGTTTTGACTAGTCTATGCATTTCATAATTTTTATTTCTCTTACACTTAAATTTAATTATGTGAGTATTGAGTTCTAAAATGCCTAACCTGTCCTGGCTGGAGTAATTATTCCTATGGTAACTTTTTAAAAATATATTAGATCTAGGTTATTTTTTTCTACTGGTAGTGCACATAGGTACATACCTCAGTACACATAACAAAATTTATTCCGCACATGGATGGAAAAAATTAGAGGGAACATTGGTTGGGATTATGTTTTCCAATGTGCATTACTTTGCATTTATCAACATTGAATTTCATCTGCCATTTTGTTGCCCAGTCACCCAGTTTTGAGAGATCCTTTTGTAGCTCTTTCCAGTCTGCCTGGGATTTAACTATCTTGAGTAGTTTTGTATCATCTGCAAATTTTGCCACTTCACTGTTTACCCCTTTTTCCAGATCATTTATGAATATGTTGAATAGTATTGGTCCCAGTACAGACCCCTGGGGGACACCACTATTTACCTCTCTTCATTCTGAAAACCTACTATTTATTCCTACCCTTTGTTTCCTATCTTTTAACCAGTTACCAATCCATGAGAGGACCTTCCCTCTTATCCCATGACAGCTTACTTTGCTTAAGAGCCTTTGGTGAGGGACCTTCTCAAAGGCTTTCTGAAAATATAAATACACTACATCTACTGGATCCCCCTTGTCCACATGCTTGTTGCCCCCCTCAAGGAATTCTAGTAGATTGGTGAGGCATGATTTCCCTTTATAAAAACCATGTTGACTCTTCCCCAACAAATTATATTCATCTATGTGTCTGACAATTTTGTTCTTTACTATAGTTTCAACCAGTTTGCCCAGTACTGAAGTCAGGCTTACCAGCCTGTAATTGCTGGGATCACCTCTGGAGCCCTTTTTAAAAATTGGCGTGACATTAGCTATCCTCCAATTATTTGGTACAGAAGCTGATTTAAAGGACAGGTTATAAACCATAGTTAATAGTTCCGCAATTTCACATTTGAGTTCTTTCAGAACTCTTGGGTGAATGCCATCTGGTCCCGGTGACTTGTTACTGTTAAGTTTATCAATTAATTCCAAAACCTTCTCTAGTGACACTTCAATCTGTGACAGTTCCTCAGATTTGTCACCTACAAAGGACAGCTCAGGTTTGGGAATCTCCATCACATCCTCAGCTGTGAAGACCGATGCAAAGAATTAATTTAGTTTCTCCGCAATGGCCTTATCATCCTTGAGAGCTCCTTCAGCATCTCGATTGTCCAGTGGCCCCACTGGTTGTTTAGCAGGCTTCCTGCTTCTGATGTACTTAAAAAAATGTTTGCTATTACTTTTTGAGTCTTTGGCTAGCTGTTCTTCAAATTCTTTTTTGGCCTTTCTAATTATATTTTCACACTTCATTTGCCAGAGTTTATGCTCCTTTCTAGTTTCCTCACTAGGATTTAACTTCCATTTAATAAAGGATGCCTTTTTGCCTCTCACTGCTTCTTTTACTTTGTTGTATAGCCACAGTGGTACTTTTTTGGTTCTCTTACTATGTTTTTTAATTTGCGGGATACATTTAAATTGAGACTCTAATATGGTTCTTTAAAAAGTTTCCATGCAGCTTGCAGGGTTCTCACTTTTGGTGCTGTACCTTTTAAATTCTGTATAACTAACCTCTTCATTTTTGTGTCGTTCCCCTTTCTGAAATTAAATGCTAACATGTTGGACTGCTCTGGTGTTTTCCCCACCACATGGATGTTAAATTTAATTATATTGTGGTCACTATTACCAAGCGGTCCAGCTATATTCACTGCTTGGACCAGATCCTGTGCTCCACTTAGGACTAAATCAAGAATTGCCTCTCCCCTTGTGGGTTCCAGGACTAGCTGCTCCAAGGAGCAGTCATTTAAGGTGTCAAAAAACTTTCTCTCTTCATCCCTTCCTGAGGTGATATGAACCCAGTCAATATGGGGATAGTTGAAATCCCCCATTATTATTGAGTTTTTTATTTTTATAGCCTCTCTAACCTCCCTGAGAATTTCACAGTCACTATCACCATCGTGGTCAGGTGGTTGGTAATATATCCCTACTGCTATAATCTTACTAGTTCACCTATCTTATTATTTAGACTCCTAGCATTGGTATATAAGCACTTTAAAAACTTGTCACTTTTTAGCTGTCTGCCATTACGTGATGTAATTGAATGGAACTTTTTTTTTTCATTTGACTGTTTCTCATCAGATCCTACCTGTATTTTATCATCTTCCCTCCTCTCCTCCTTACTAGGACATAGAAAATCTCCATTAATAGATCCTCCCCTAAGGGATGTCGCTGTCTGAACCACGTGCTCCTCTGCATCTGTTGGCTTTCCCCCAGGCCTTAGTTTAAAAACTGCTCTATGACCTTTTTAATTTTAAGTGCCAGCAATCTGGTTCCATTTTGGTTTAGGTAGAGCCCATCCTTCCTGTATAGGCTCCCCCTTTCCCAAAAGTTTCCCCAGTTCCTAATAAACTTAAACCCCCTCCTCCCTACACCATTGTCTCATCCACACATTGAGACCCTGCAGTTCTGCCTGTCTAACTTGCCCTGCATGTGGAACTAGAAGCATAATGTCACCATGGAGGTCCTGGACTTCAATCTCTTACCTAGCCTAAATTTGGCCTCCAGGACCTCTCTCCTATCCTTCCCTATGTCATTGGTATCTACATATACCACAACCACCAGCTCCTCCCCAGCACTACACAGAAGTCTATCTAGATGTCTCAAGAGATCTGCAACTTTCACACCAGGCCGGCAAGTCACCATACAGTTCTCCCGGTCATCGCAAACCGAGCTATCTATGTTTCTAATGATCGAATCCTCCATAACTATTACCTGTCTCTTCCTAATAACTGGAGTTCCTTCCCCCAGAGAGGTATCCTCAGGGCGAGAGAATACCACAACATCATCTGCAAGGAGGGTCCCAACTATGGGATCATTTCCCTCTGCTCCAGTTGGATGTTCTCCTTCATCCTCCTCAACAGCACAGAGGCTGTCAGACGGGGGGTGGGACTGTTCTACTGTGTCCCGGAAAGTCTCATCTATGTATCTCTCTGTCTCCCTCAGCTCCTCCAGTTCAGCCACCCTGGCCTCCCAAGCCCATACACAGTATCTGAAGGCCAGGAGCTCCTTGCACCGAATGCACACATACGCCACCTGCCACAGGGCAGGTAATCATACATGCTGCATTGGGTGCAATAAACTTGATAGCCCCCACTCTGTTGCTGGACTTCTTCCTGCATTCTCTTTTTACTCCCGAAGCTTGGTCCTTTGTCGTTATTTTGGTTTTATCGGGGGGTGGTTTGGGCTTTAAATTTAAGAATGTTAAGAGTATCTAGCCCCTCAGCTCACACTCCCTGCTCTAAACTCCCTCGCAAAACTCCCCTGTTAGCCGCTCCTGTTCGCTAGCTCCTCTGGTTGCTTAGGAGCAGGCTTTTAAAGCCCTGGTCTTCCTGAGTAGCCCCGCCCCCTGGTTAAGGGTTGATGGGGGCTAAAGGGCTTAGGGATCACAGCCTCCTTAAGCAGCTCTCAGCCTTGCCTAGCAGGCCGCTAGGCTCAGCACACACACGGTCAGCACAAACAAACAGACCATACGGTATATTTCAATCAAGCAGCAAGCACACCACAAACACACACACTACAGACAACTGGCAGCTGTGTAGCAGGGCTTAGGGACTTATACGGCCCCGCCCTTCACCACAATATCTCAATGCCTCACTGATCCTACTAGCTGTCGGGAGGCGAGGCAGATTCCTGTCCCCATTGTACAGATGGGGAACTGAGGCACGGAGATGCTCAGGGTCCGTCTGCACAGCAAAAACCCTGCGGCAGTGTCTCCGAGCCCAGCTCTGCTGCCTGGGGCTTGCACCGTGGGGCTAAAGGAACAGTGTAGATGCTCGGCTGGAGCCTGGGCTCCGAGACCCTCCCCCGTCCCTGGGTCTAGAGCCTGGACCTGACCATCAACCTGCTGGTTTTAGCCCCGCAGCACAAGCGAGGTCAGCAGGGCTGGGCTCTGAGACTCGCGGCCGCAGGGTGTTTCTGCTGCAGCCGTACTCAGAGGGACTTGCAGGCAGCTTGTGGCAAAGCAGGGACTTGCCCCCAGGTCTCTCCAGACCTTAGGCTAGTGGCCCCGCGTACTGGGCGGC